TTGCAAGGGCGGTAACACGGTGCAGGACTGTCGGCACGATGTATCGGTTTGTGTTGCAAGGGCTTTATCCCGATACTGGACTGTCGGTACGATGTATCGGTTTGTGTTGCAAGGGCTTTATCCCGATACTGGACTGTCGGTACAATATATCGGTTTGTGTTGCAAGGGCGGTAACACGATACGGGACTGTCGGTACGATATATCGGTTTGTGTTGCAAGGGCTTTATCCCGATACGGGACTGTCGATACGATACGTCGGTTTGTGTTGCAAGGGCGGTAACACGATACACGGTGCTATCGATATGATTTGTCGGTTTGCAATGTATCCCGGTCTCAGATTAGGTCTCTAGCAACCCATACCGTATCCCGTTGTCTTAGTGATGTGCTCATAATATCAATCACTCGTTCTGCTGGTCCAGGTTCGTTTATATACACAAGCCACCATCACAACGTCCTCAATTTTACGAAAACAAAATGTTCGTGTGTCTATTTTAAAAAACTTCAAAGAATGCTACATAGTCTACTACACAGACTAGATATGTATACTACACCAAAACATATTCTTCATACTAAATTATGACGTGACAGATAAATTTATAATATAGTTATATATAAGAATGTCCTTAACTCTAGGCCGACTGGTAATAACTAAACTATCGCTTAGCATTGGATAACGGACTTCCGAAGCCATTTGTAACACTGAGCTTGCGCAGATTCACCCGACGTCACGCTGACAGAAGTTGTCTTGTTTGGGAATAATTTGTGTCTCGTTTGTCTCCGTCTGTCTAGATCCAGCTCGGAAACAGATAAAACACAATCTCTAACACGCAGGTATAGGCTCATCTCAACAATGGACGACAGTCGCTCAGTGACAGGCTTTGTCTGAACGTCATACGTCACTGCTTGCGGGACGGCCGATCATGGCCGCGGGTCACGTGATTTCGTACCCACTGACCACGTGCACAGCGGGAGACGGATTAACTGCCCGGGGAAAAGCGAAAAGGATGAGACAGGAACATTGTGTCTACTTGACAGATTTGACAGAAACAGAAGACACACCCCTCCCAACCCCCAGCCACTCACGTGAGTGATGGTAGTTTTGTGTCTCTTACACAGAAGAATGTCAACGGGGACATGTTATCACGCATTGGAGGATCGAACTTTTGGCCCTCGGCTTGGCTAACGAGCACGTTAACTACTCGGCTATACTACAGCCATGCACACATGGAGCCAGATTCACGAATGGTTTTACAAAGTTACATACCGTGAGTTGGGGAGTGAGGTGAGGTGAAATTGGGTTTAACGTCGCGTCCAAGATTATTGCACTTATATAGCGACGTGCATGCACGTGTGTGTGTGTGTGTGGCTGCTTGTACTAGTCCGGGCTGATGCCGATTTATAGTGCTAGCCCACTGAGATACCATGCCGCAGTTAAAGATGAATACCCCACTCAGACACAGTATACTGACTCCGAGCCGACCAGTCCTTGTTTTAGCCCCTTAATCCCGAGCGCCAGACAGGGTAACAACAAGTACCATCTTTTAACGTCTTTTGGTATGACGCGGCCTGGGATCGAACCCCGGACCTTCCGCTCTCCGGGCGGACTCTCTACCACTAGACCACGGAGGCGGTCAGTTGGGGAGTGAAGCCATACAGACCACGGAAGCGGTCCACGTTTGTTTGTTGTTTAGCGCCGCACTCGGTGTGATTCTAGCTGTATGATTTGGTTGGTTTGTTGTTAAACGCTGCACTCAGCAATATTCCAGCTATATGACGGCGGTCTGTAAATAATCGAGTCTGGACCAGACGATCCATTGATTAACATCATGAGCATCGATCCACGCAATTGGTATCGACGACATGCATCAAAAACGTCAGAGAGCCTGACCACCCGATGCCGTTAGTCGCCTCTTTCGACAAGCATAGTCGCCTTTTACGACAAGCATGGGTTGCTGAAGACCTATTCTACCCCGGATCTTCACGGGTCTCTAGCTGTATGAAGGCGGTCTGTGAATTACTCGAGCCTTGTCCAGAAAATATATGTATGATATGACAAGAGGGAAATTTCTTAGAGACATTAGCCGCTAATTATTGTCCATATGTCCTCCATACTTATTTTCAGCACTTCAAACATATTTGTAGACATTTCATTAACCCTTAACCCTGCCTTGTCTTAAACATATCCGCTGATTGTCTCCAGTGATCTTTTGACGTATTGTTGTAATTGATAGCTTGTAAATCAAACGTATTTTCTCATCGTGTATAATGTGAACCATAATTCGACGCTAATCGTATAGAGCGTCGTCACAGGGGATTTGTTCAAATACTACTATATGAGCCTCAATCCGAATTTATGGAGTGAAAACTCGCAACCGGCGAGAGTTATCTCCCTTTGCACATTTTTTTTACAAGCTCCTCACAGCTCCTTACAAACCATTCGCGCAACCTTTTAATATCAAGAGGGTATAAGAACAAAGGTGCTACGCTTTTAAAATCCAGACAAACCCGGACGGAATGCTCCGGACAGAACCGGTATCAGAGGCTCACGCACTTGAAATGTGAACTTATTGAACGGATGGGTGCATCCCTCACACAAAAAGACCGCGTCCGTGGTCCAGTGGTAGAGCGTCCGCCCGGAGAGCGGAAGGTCCGGGGTTCGATTCCCGGCCGCGTCATACCAAAAGATGGTACTTGTTGTTAACCTGTCTGGCGCTCGGCATTAAGGGGTTAAAACAAGGACTGGTCGGCTCGGAGTCAGTATACTGTGTCTGAGTGGGGTATTCATGTTAAACTGCGGCATGGTATCTCAGTGAGCTAGCACTATAAATCGGCATCAGTCCAGACTAGAACAAGCAGCTACACGAACAAACACACGTACATGCACGTCGCTATATAAGTGCAATAATCTTGGACGCGACGTTAAACCCAATTTCACCTCACCTCACTCAAGAAACATTCGTCTACCGACATATTATGTGTTTTCAAACAATCTATTCTCACCTCCTTAATTTTCAGGGACGCTGGTTCACTCGATCACCCCTCAATTCTCAGCTCTATTCCTTTTTTTAAAGCCTTATACAACTTTATGTCTGAACTTAATAATCTAATCAGCCATATGTCCACAGGAAGATATGAATTGTGCTAATCGTTACGTCATTGTTAAAATTATTTTCATTATTGTACTCCCGCCGTGATATTGCTGGAATATTGCTAAAAGCGGCGTAAAACCATACTCACTCACTCATTATTGTACTTCTCACCAGGGTTATGGCAAAAGCGTTAGTTTGTTACTGGTGAAGATAGGGGTTCGATTCCCAAAATGAATACAATGTGTGAAGATCATTCTGTGTTTCTACCTTCGTTATATATCTGGAATATTGATAATAGAATATATGTATTTTATCAAACCAAAACTCTCTAGATTATAAAAAGCAAGTCTAGCCAGCTCTCTTCCTTATCTGAACATATTTTTTTAAAGGAGAGAAATGTATTGTGTAATTAAAGATTTCCTAGACTATATGTTAGTCTAAACTACGGGACAAAAGAAAGTATACACTTGAAAATTGGAAACAAATAGAAACTTCATCAGAAAATTACTAGGCTAGCTGAAAACAGTCGCCTTAACATTGCAACCTTTGGGTCCTAAACACAACTATGATACCCCTATCAAACACATCACCATCGAATAACCATGTCTTTGTTTTATTTCAGCCACCACCAAACATACATGGATATAAACTTTCTTTAGCTCGGCAGTTTACATGACCAAACGCGGCGTAAATCCTGCTCCTTTAGTCATATTACCAGCAAGGTCATTCAACCCTTCCCCAACTACATACAATTCTACTTGGAGGTGCCTCATTATCCTTTTAAAAATATGGCGTCATTTTATACAGTCTTATAAAATTAGCCCGCGATAGATAGGGCAATGGTTTACTTTGTCTGGAAACTGGTCGGCGTTATCTCGTGCAGCGATAAACTTAAATAGTCTTATCTCCCGACACGTGACACAAGCCCTTCACTGCAACTGTCTCCCCGGCTAGGTTCCCAAGAGCATGTAGTTTATAAAACAATCATCTTATTCCATTCCAAGTCCCCTTCTCAGCTCTAGCATCCCATTCTCACCCTTCTCAGCTCTAGCATCCCATTCTCACCCTTCTCAGATCCAACATCCCTTTCTCACCCTTCTCAGCTCTAGCATACCAATCTCACCCTTTTCAGATCCAACATCCCTTTCTCACCCTTCTCAGCTCTAGCATACCAATCTCACCCTTTTCAGATCCAACATCCCTTTCTCACCCTTCTCAGCTCTAGCATACCAATCTCACCCTTCTCAGATCCAACATCCCTTTCTCACCCTTCTCAGCTCTAGCATACCAATCTCACCCTTCTCAGATCCAACATCCCATTCTCACCCTTCTCAGCTCTAGCATCCCGTTCTCACCCTTCTCAGAGCTCTAGCATACCAATCTCACCCTTCTCAGATCCAACATCCCTTTCTCACCCTTCTCAGCTCTAGCATCCCGTTCTCACCCTTCTCAGCTCTAGCATACCAATCTCACCCTTCTCAGATCCAACATCCCTTTCTCACCCTTCTCAGCTCTAGCATACCAATCTCACCCTTCTCAGATCCAACATCCCATTCTCACCCTTCTCAGCTGAGGCATCCCATTCTCAGCTCTGGCATCCCATTCTAAGCTCTGGCATCCCATTCTAAGCTCTTGCATCCCATTCTAAGCTCTAGTATCCCATTCTCAGCTCTAGCATCCCATTCTCAGCTCTTGCATCCCATTCTAAGCTCTTGCATCCCATTCTAAGCTCTAGTATCCCATTCTCAGCTCTTGCATCCCATTCTCAGCTCTAGCATCCCATTCTCAGCTCTAGTATCCCATTCTCAGCTCTTGCATCCCATTCTCAGCTCTAGCATCCCATTCTCAGCTCTTGCATCCCATTCTCAGCTCTAGTATCCCATTCTCAGCTCTTGCATCCCATTCTCAGCTCTAGTATCCCATTCTCAGCTCAAGCACCCCCTTCTGATCTCCTTCTGAGCGCTGAAATAAGAAACTTCAAGGTTCCTTTAAACTCAATGATTTCTTTATAGAATTCTTTTTTTTAATATTAAATCGTATACACAACTTTATTTCGGGCACTTGTGTTACCATTTAGGCACAACCAGGCCTGTGTAACGAAACGAGTCCTGCTATGTTGAAAGCAGGCTGTATTCACAATCGTCGCTTTTTGTGGGTGCATTTACACTGGGTTGAGGTAGTCCGAGGTGTGTTTTGTATCAATGTTTCAACGCTGCACGACGTAGACTTTATCGAGCGTTAGTAGTTTACAAAAGCCGACCAGCCTACCCCCGGTAATTCGGTACAGACATAATGTATACGAAACTGTGTTCTTGTAGCGGCCTTTGTACAAACCAGTGTAACACAGACACGGGAATTGAAATAGGTTGTTTAACGTTTTAGATTATTCGGCGGCCTTGAGCCTTGAAGCAAGTCTAACGCCGTGAGAATGAATGGACGGAGTCAATGACCGACTTTTAATCTGGTTCTTTGATTATTTGCCGGGAAGAGTTTACGCCCCGACAGTCGATAATGCCATACTGTATAGACGGGAGCCCAGTGTATAGCCTTGGCGGATTGCGTTACATGCGGGAGGCGAGTCTGCTTGACATTCGCTAGCGGAAACTGACAATTCTTTCGGAAACCAAATATGCGGAAGCTGAAATCCTAGACTGGGTTCACATGAAAACAGTTGATAAAAAAGGCAGTTTGGGAAACATATTTTGAAGTCTTTGCAGAAATATTTTCAAATACTTCATATATCCAGGAACCGATTTTTAACTTCCCTCTAAATCCTTGAAGATTGTGTAGTGATAATTCATTACAAAATCTTCAAGCATTTAGAGGGAAGATCTAATAGAGAACAATATAAAAAGTTTGTTGTTAAAGAATGCTACGTATTTGAAAATATTGCAGGTCGATTTTTTTGTCTCGGTTTTGAAGAAAGTGACCTAAGAAATTTAAACTGTGATCATGCCAGTTTTAATCAGAAAAAAGGGAATATAGATCCCCATGCAACAACTTTTTCATGCTTGTCGCAAAAGGCGACTAAATGGATCGGATGGCAAGCTCGTTGATTTGGTTGAGTTCATTTGTATCCAAATTGCTTGTATCGATGCCCATGATGTCAATCACTGGCTAGTCTGGTCCAGATTTGATCTACAGACCGTCGTCATATATAGCTGGAATATTGTTAATAGACTCACATATAGTCTATGATATCTTCAATCACAAAATACACTTCTCTCCTCTAAAATTAAAACAAATATTTTTTTTCTGATGCTGATTTCATAGTGCTGTCTAGACTTGCTATTGTATACATACATATCTGGATTGGTTTCGTTTTCATAAAATGATAAATGCCCCAGTCATGCTACGGCGTTAAATAACAAAAAAAATGTTATGAAAAAAATTACAAATCCGTAATACTCTTCACCATTTATGTTTATGCAAAGTATGTAAGTAACCCTTAATCTCCAAATGTTTACGGGAAATGCATAACATAAACAAAGTGTTTAATTCATTGGTATATATGTCAGCAAGACTACGATACTTCCAAGATCTCCAGAAACCAAAGGAGGCAAGCGGCGGGGAATTCAAATAATTAACATTAGCGTACATGTGTTTTACTTGTGTACTCTACAGCTTGTGCACAACCGACGCTTCAAGAGCGAGAGTGTTCGGGACAGCATTATACTAGACAGTGCACGATAGACAGAGACGGGACCCAGTTGGTGGGCCTAAACTGGATATCAGCAGTAGGTGATTTATAACGCTGTGGTCAGGCCCTACTTTGTCCGACAGCTGCAGCTTGGATACAGGCGAGAGTCCTGTTGCCGTCTTGTACTTCTGTAGAGAACTGTAGTAAATCACGTTCTGTATACAGCTATAGCCAGGCCTGTCGTCTTCAGAGGCTTCGCCCCTTCCCTCTAGTGTTTCGTCCCGTCCCTCTATCTAGTGTTTCGTCCCCTCCCTCTAGTGTTTCGTCCCTTCCCTCTAGTGTTTCGTCCCTCCCCTCTATCTTGTGTTTCGTCCCGTCCCTCTATCTAGTGTTTCGTCCCTTCCCTCTATCTAGTGTTTCGTCCCTTCCCTCTATCTAGTGTTTCGTCTCTTCCCTCTAGTGTTTCGTCCCGTCCCTCTATCTAGTGTTTCGTCCCGTCCCTCTATCTAGTGTTTCGTCCCTTCCCTCTATCTAGTGTTTCGTCCCTTCCCTCTAGTGTTTCGTCCCTCCCCTCTGGTGTTTCGTCCCGTCCCTCTATCTAGTGTTTCTTTCCTTCCCTCTAGTGTTTCGTCCCATCCCTCTATCTTGTGTTTCGTCCCTTCCCCCTAGTGTTTCGTCCCGTCACTCTGTCTAGTGTTTCGTCCCTTCCCTCTAGTGTTTCGTCCCGTCCCTCTATCTAGTGTTTCGTCCCTTCCCTCTAGTGTTTCGTCCCGCCCCTCTATCTAGTGTTTCGTCCCTTCCCTCTAGTGTTTCGTCCCTCCCTTCTATCTTGTGTTTCGTCCCGTCCCTCTATCTTGTGTTTCGTCCCTTCCCTCTATCTAGTGTTTCGTCCTGCTATCTAGTGTTTCGACCCTCCCCTCTAGTGTTTCGTCCCTCCCCTCTAGTGTTTCGTCCCGTCCCTCTATCTTGTGTTTCGCCCCGTCCCTCTATCTAGTGTTTCGTCCCTCCCCTCTAGTGTTTCGTCCCGTCCCTCTATCTTGTGTTTCGTCCCTTCCCTCTAGTGTTTCGTCCCGTCCCTCTATCTAGTGTTTCGTCCCTTCCCTCTAGTGTTTCGTCCCTTCCCTCTAGTGTTTCGTCCCGTCCCGTCCCTCTATCTAGTGTTACGTCCCTTCCCTCTATCCAGTGTTTCGTCCCTTCCCTCTATCTAGTGTTTCGTCCCTTACCTCTAGTGTTTCGTCCCGTCCCTCTAGTGTTTCGTCCCGTCCCTCTATCTAATGTTCGTTCCTTCCCTCTAGTGTTTCGTCCCTTCCCTCTAGTGTTTCGTCCCTTCCCTCTAGTGTTTCGTCCCTTCCCTCTATCTAATGTTTCGTCCCGTCCCTCTATCTAGTGTTTCGTCCCGTCCCTTCCCTCTAGTGTTTCGTCCCGTCCCTCTCTCTAGTGTTTCGTCCCTTCCCTCTGGTGTTTCGTCCCTTCCCTCTAGTGTTTCGTCCCTTCCCTCTGGTGTTTCGTCCCTTCCCTCTAGTGTTTCGTCCCTTCCCTCTTGTGTTTCGTCCCTTCCCTCTATCTTGTGTTTCGTCCCTTCCCTCTAGTGTTTCGTCCCTTCCCTCTATCTAGTGTTTCGTCCCTTCCCTCTATCTAGTGTTTCGTCCCGTCCCTCTAGTGTTTCGTCCCTTCCCTCTATCTAGTGTTTCGTCCCTTCCCTCTATCTAGTGTTTCGTCTCTTCCCTCTATCTAGTGTTTCGTCCCTTCTCTCTAGTGTTTCGTCCCGTCCCTCTATTTAGTGTTTCGTCCCTTCCCTCTATCTAGTGTTTCGTCCTTCCCCCTAGTGTTTCGTCCCTTCACTCTAGTGTTTCGTCCCGTCCCTCTATTTAGTGTTTCGTCCCTTCCCTCTATTTAGTGTTTCGTCCCTTCCCTCTAATGTTTCGTCCCGTCCCTCTATCTTGTGTTTCGTCCCTTCCCCCTAGTGTTTCGTCCCGTCCCTCTATCTAGTGTTTCGGTAGGTAATACCGCAGCGATAATTTTGCAATGCTGGTTTATAATTTTCTCAAGCATTTTGTCAGAAAGGGCGTTAAAGAAAGATATATTTTTTAGTTATCTTGCAATCCAACAATATCAATTCAGAGACCTATTATATGGTCTCTGATCAAATATAAAAGACACGACTATGCTTGTCGTAAGAGGCGACTAACGGGATTGGGAGGTCAGGTTTGCTGACTTGGTTGATGCATGTCATCGATCCCAATTGCGTGGATCGATGCTCATGATGTCAATCGCTGGATTGTCTGGTCCAGACCCGATTATTTACAGATCGCCGCCATACAGCTGAAATATTGCTGAGTGCGGCGTTAAACAACAAGCAAACAAATATAAAAGACAATTCACCCTATATAATCAAGAATATTATATCTCCTTAATTATAATTACCATATTAGAATGTAAAAACCATACTCTGGATACTCGTGTGTGGAGGAACTTTTGAACAAGTCGATTCTCCAGGGAAGTATCCAAAAATATCTCGATCATTTTGTACCATTATTTAAGCCATCACTTGTACGCGCAACATGATTATGGTCAATTAACGCGTTGAAAGAAACAAGGACTTAATTTTTGCAACTTGCAACGAGATGATATATATATAATATACATAATATATGTATTATCAAAATTATCGATATATTCGATTCTATGGGGTTCATTATATCGAGGTGACATCTCTTTTTATGCCAATATCAATCTGATGTCATATTTTATTTCATCGATTTAAGGAAACGTTTCATGTAAGAAATCTCATGTAATGATTTATTTCTTCAATTTCAGGAAATATTTTATTAAAGAAAGCTGATTTAATGTTTTATTTTATCAATCTGAGTTTTTGAGGAAGCGTTTTATCTAAGAAATCTGACCTAATGTATTATTTGTTTGTTTGTTGTTTAACGCCGCACTCAGCAATATTCCAGCTATTTGACGGCGGTCTGTAAATAATCGCGTCTGGACAAGACACTCCAGTGATTGATCTCATGAGTATCGATCCACGCAATTGGGATCATGTTTTATTTCATCGATCTGGAGAAACTGTGAGGGGGGTTTTACGCCGCTTTTAGCAATAATTCAACAACACCATGGCTTCACACATTACAGTAAACTACGGTTATAACGCACAGGTTTATAGCGAACTGACGGATATAACGAACTTACTTTTTTGGTCCCGACTACTTGCTGAAGTTATACTGTATATATGCTTATAACGAACTACGGTTATAACGAACTAAAATTAGTAGTCCCTTTGAGTTCGTTATAACCGTACTTTACTGTATACCCGAGTGGAGAATTGAACCGGGCCGTAGGGGTGGCTAAGGACCTAACAAGGTAAACCTACAGCTCTTGGTGGAAGTGAAGCGGGCTGTCAACGGGACCACGGTTAAGTGTTGCTTGACGCCTCAGTTTCTTTGTTTGTTCTTTGATACCGCACTCAGCAATATTCCAGCTATATGACGATGTCTGTGAATAATCGAGTCTGGACCAGACATTCCAGTGATTGATACGATCTATGTTGTCGGGGTACGACACTACGCAGTAAGTGACGACCTGTGTTGGTATATTTGCTATCAAAAGACGCGAGGGTGAGATTATCTAAAATCATTCTCAGGCAAGCATCGGTGCTTTAAACTTTTATCGACCTGTGCTGGTATATTTCATACCAAAAGACGAGAGGGTGAGATTATCTAAAATCATTTTCAGGCAAGCATCGGTGCTTTAAACTTTTATCGACCTGTGCTGGTATATTTCATACCAAAAGATGCGAGGGTGAGATTATCTAAAATCATTTTCAGGCAAGCATCGGTGCTTTAAACTTTTATCGACCAGTGCTGGTATATTTGATACAAAAAAACACGAGGGGGAGATTCTCCATATATTAAGTTGATGTGTCAAAAAGCAGCTACATAAAATAAGAGAAGAGATAAGATTTATTATTTATTTATTGCAAAAAAACATTCCATTGCGGAAAAGAGGCAATAGAGCTGACATACATACAATCAGTATACATAAACATTTATGTTGCAAAAGGAATAACATACACAAATTATATAGGGGAATTATTATGGGATACATAAACTACCCGTATATTTTACATTCATGTAAATATCGGATATATCGGCAGTCAGTATGAACCAAATCCTTCACGCTTAGCACAATCACTGCCTCGGTCAATACACCGCTCCTCGCGCTTCACATTTCGCTGTCGAGAGCATTGTAGTATCACGTGATTGAAAGGTGAAGGACATCCACATGTCTCAAGGTCACACGAGGCTCACCCTGCAAATGGATACCCCAGCGAGCTGACAGAACAACGATTGTTTAGAATGCGATTGTGCAGATGTGAAATTTGAGGTTTTAGGATGAAAAAAGAGGAATAAAATCGATTGCCACGCAACGAATGATGGCTGTGCAGTCCTAATGGTTTTAGTACTTGTATTATTTCTATGGTTGGGTGAACAGAATATTAATTAATATGATGCACATTCTTCCTATTGTTTTGCCACAAAAGCCGCGAACAGATGCACGATTGTTTATAATGTGTAACGTAAGGCACCATCTGTTCTGTACTCGAGATCGCCACACACAATTCGTGACGTATTTTTGTAATTTTCTTTTTTAGTTTTGTAGGTTTTTTCGTGTGGTGTGCCGATTGGTTGTGAGAGAGGTGGCCGGGTGTAGGGTGGGTGGGGTGGTTGGGCATGGGGGTGGGGTGGGCATGACACGCGCGAGGGGCCGAGTGTGTAAAGGGATGTGGTGTGAGGGTGAGGGTGAGAATGAGGATGACTGATTGTGACTGGTGTTGAGGGTTGTGCTTGTAGGGTGTTTGGAGACATGGGGGTGTTGAAAGGGGTGGGGTGGGGATCTGGGTATTGGGCTTGGACGAGTCAAAATTTACTACCCGGGTACCCATCCCCCCATTACCCGACCCTACCCGGGTACCAATATAGGTCTCAGGAGATGTCTCAACATGTCCGATTAGGAACATTTTTAGCATAGCCCTGGCAATACATGTATTAAACAATCTGGTCATTCATACACTGAAGTTGAATTAAGTTATATCTTTATTCAACCATATGAAAAATCAGAAGGAATGGGTGCATAGTCAGAAAGAAATGCGAACACTAGTGACTTGTAGTGTAACCATAGAGTTCTAGATAATTTTGGTCATGAAACAATATACCCGGGTCCTACTCAGTACCATCCCGACCCGGGTACCCGAGTTACCCGTCCCAGCCCTACTGGGTATGCTTGTTGTGAAGGTGGGGGGTGTAGTGAGTGTGTTAGACGTACATGTAGTTTGGAGATTGTGGGGATGGAGGTGCACAGACGGATTCAGGGAGGGTCGTGTGTGTCCAGGAGGGTAAACCACTCCCCCCAACCCCCCTCCCCACCCGCTCACACCCCACTAAGAGTGGGTGTTGTTATTGGACCCCTCCCTTTTAAAAATAATGCTGGACCCGCCCTTGCGGTGGTGATGCGGTGGTGTTTTGGGGGTTGGATGGCTATGCCGTAGTGGACGTTAGCATGGGGCTATTGACAGGGTGCGTATATCCACGAGGGTGGGGGTCTATAATGGATAGGGAGGAATTGACGGGGGTTAGGATGTGCATGCATAGGAGGTGGGGGTGGGGTGGGGTGGGTTGGGGTGGGGTGGGGTGGTAATGTAGGAATAAACAGGGCGGGGCTTGGCTCATCTTGACGGGTTGGAGAGGGGGCGGGGGCACGGAGGGGAAAGAAGTCGGCTAGTGAATAGCTGCCGTATTGAGGCACGGGGTAACAGTTTTGGAGTACTTTGACGGGGGTTTAGGACAGGGGATTCGGACATGCGTGTTATGTACTGTCTTGAAGTACTCGACGGGGTAGGGATCCAGTGTCAAAGGGGTTGGAATGGCTGACGTGTGCGCAACACTGACATGTGTGCACAACTAAAAAGGTGTGTTGGGAGAGAATAACAATAGTTGTGTGGTTAGTAGACCTACGTAACACAGCTGGGGGTCCGGGTGAATGACCTACCTACCACAGAGTGATACAGTACATGCCAAGGCTGACAATTTAATCACGCTGCACACACTTGCACTTGAAAGCATTATTCTTTAATGTGTTTTGTATTGAGGCGAGGTGAAATTAGGTTTAACGTCGCGTCCAAGATTATTGCACTTATATAGCGACGTGCATGCACGTGTATGTGTGTGTGTGGCTGCTTGTACTAGTCCGGACTGATGCCGATTTATAGTGCTAGCTCAATGAGATACCATGCCGCAGTTTAACATGAATACCCCACTCAGACACAGTATACTGACTCCGAGCCGACCAGTCCTTGTTTTAGCCCCTTAATGCCGAGCGCAAGACAGGGTAACAACAAGTACAATCTTTTAACGTCTTTTTGTATGACGCGGCCCGGGATCGAACCCTGGACCTTCCGCTCTCCTGGCGGACGCTCTACCACTAGACCACGGACGCGGTCGTTTTGTATTGAGACGAGATAGCATTCAGCTACAGCTACAAAATCAGATTGTTGCGGTTGCGGTTGCGGTTGTGGTTGTGGTTGTGGCAGTTGTTGCGGTAGTGGTTGTGACAGTTGTTGCGGTAGTGGTTGTGACAGTTGTTGCGGTAGTGGTTGTGTACGTGGCAGTTGTTGCGGTAGTGGTTGTGTACGTGGTTGTTGTTGCGGTAGTGGTTGTGTATGTGGTTGTTGTTGCGGTAGTGGTTGTGTATGTGGTTGTTGTTGCGGTAGTGGTTGTGACAGTTGTTGCGGTAGTGTTTGTGGTTGTGGCAGTTGTTGCGGTAGTGGTTGTGTATGTGGTTGCTGTTGCGGTTTGGGTTGTGTATGTGGTTGTTGTTGCGGTAGTGGTTGTGTATGTGGTCGGGTTCAGTGTGGATGAGACGGTCAGTAGGCATGTTGACTTATTGTTTAATTGTAACCTTGGTGGTTAGTGTATTCCTCCTCCCCCACACCCCCCTCCAGTATACAGTATATACCCCCACACACCCCTCCAGTATACAGTATATACCCTGTATATATTCAGCACTTATCCTTCAGCAGTCATCCCGAGTCGAATCACACGGCGTAGAACAGGACGAATAACACAGCTGTCCGAACAAATAATTCTCATGAGTGAGGAGAATATCTGCGCAGTCAGTGGATTTATTGACGTCACTTCCGGAAGGAAGCTATGAATGGGTGCAGGTTATTTATCGTAATACGTACGACAAAGTAATACCCTGGATAACCGAGGATCCTACAAGAAAAAAACCATTTTGTCTTGTTCGTCATGACATAATGACAATTTGAATCCCTGAAACGAGAAACAACGAGGATACATCGCAAACACGAGTCACGGCCAAAGGGAGAGAACTCCTGCAGGAATCTCGTCCGTGGATTATGAATCTCGCATCGTTCCGCTTTCATTTCTGAACGCCATCAGATGTGAGGGGGTTGGTTTAAGATCAGCATTGAAAATAAAATGAAATTAGGAGATCAATTTTGTTTTTATATGAACAGATATTCATATAAAAAGACCGAGAGTACACATATCTGATTGAACAGACCTCAACTAAGCTATAGTAGACAGGCAATTAAGGTGTTGATTGAGTACGCTTAATTGCAATTACACATAGTGAAACATAACCTGTCACTGAGGGTGTAAAGTTAGATTGTGTGGTTAGGATGAGAGGCACTGTGAACTGTAGATCCGTGAAGACCCGTGAAGAACCCGGTTAAAACTAGTTTTCAGCAACACAAGCCAAGGCCACTAACGGGATTGGGGTCATGGTGTCAATCACCGCGTTGTCTGGTCCAGACTCGATTATTTACAGACCCCTCTTATGGAGATGGTATGGTGCTGTGCTGCGTGCGGCGTTAAACAACAAGCACCTCCCAAAAAAAACCCAACAACAAACAACAAACCCCAACAAAACAAAAACAACAACAAAACAAAAACAAACAAACAAAACAAAAACAAACAAAAACAAAAAACAACAACAAAAAACAAATCAAAACAAAAAACAAACCGACAACAAAAACCCAAAACAAACAAAACGCACACTTAAGAAAACAAACAAAAACAACAAGACCAACAAACAGACCCATCCTCCCCCCCAAAAAAAATAAATAAATAAAAAATAAAAATAAAAATAAATAAACACACAAAAATAACAACAACAAAATTTAACAAAACCGTAATCTGAAATGTATTCAAAACTATTGTTCACTGTACAGGTTATAACAATCAGAACTTTTCTAGACGCCTTTACAACAGCGTCATCCTTATATCATCATACTATGTTTCGTATGATTGATAAATGTTTTCTGTGTCTCATAAGCCTGTATGACTGGACACTACTTTTTATACACTTGTATTTAAATAATGTGCCAATTACACTCAAACTTGCAATGTGTGACAATAATGAAATACAGGAGATTTCTTTTTTATTTCTTCTTATAAATGATCGGGGGCACGGGTGGCCCAGTCGTCTAAGGCGCCGCTGTGCAGAGTTGCGTCCCTTGGGAACGCCAGAAACCTATGATTGTGGGTTCGAATCCCGGTTTGCCCCGATTATGTTTCTAGGTTTGTCAGCACCATACCCATGGGTTTCACCGAAGTGGGAAACGTCTGAGACCTGCATCACTTCGGGTTTTCCGTCCACATTAAGCTGACACACCGTGATATAACTGGAATACTGTTAAAAGCGGCGTTAAACCCAACTCACTCACTCTTATAAATGATCAACCTGCGAATGTAAATGTGTGCAAAATGTCAAAACTTAAACATATAACAACGTACATATTATAACATACTCATAGCATACTCCTTCTATGAAGATTTCCAAGAGCGTCATCTTGCTCAAAAGTTGTTTAATCAGTTTAATTCAAGGACTCAGTAAAGCTTTCAAAACCTTTTATGGTAGCCATGAGGAGGACATTTCCACAGACTGATGCAATTCCTCATTTTGTTGTACCATGTTACCGTCTTTTTTTAGTAGGACGATTGATTTGCCTCTGCATGTGTTTGTGATGGGTGCTACTGGTAGGGCAGGGCACACTCACATTTTCGCGAACACCTGGCACCGTCACTACTTCATAAACATGTAGTCGGAATCGTACAATGGGTTCCGCTTTTAGCAGACATTCCTTACATTATGGGAATGTGTGATGTTACAGAGTAACAGTTTTCCGCAATGTATGCTCCCTGGCTGGCGGAACTCTCCTGTGCATGAGTCAAATTTGTCGTTGCGTAATGGTTCGCTCTCGCAATAAGGAAAATTAGGTTCTGACCACTTGTGACACACCACAGTCCTTTTACCCTTTATGAGAACCTCCATCTACAGAATAAACACCTTCAAATCTGATGACACTTGTACCATCATTTCTTGAATGGAAGAGGTTCGGGGTTATCTGATTTGTAGCTCATAAGGTAGACTAACATCTAGTCTCTGAAATGAACATATCGTACAGAAAAAAAACAGTTGTTCAGTTATCTTAATAAAAATATAATAAAAGGGAGCCCAGTGACTCTCTTCATTTTCCGATTTCCTGATACTGCAGTAATCTAGACTTGCCAAATATTATAGACTTACATGGGCTGTATTTGATATATATTTGTATCAGGGTCTGTAAGACAGACTACTCATAAGGGTGATGCAAGTACAGAATGGTTTTGTCGTCTTATTTAAAATAGAAACATGAAATGGTTTCATTAACAACTATGACGATAAAGGAATATGAACATCCGGTTTAATGACATCACTTCCTGTTTGCAATTACATGTGAAATGCAAGACAACTTCAAAAAAGAAAATCCTTGCTGTACAAGTCAAAAGGTAACATGCATTTCTGGTTTAAAGACTTCACTTTCCGTTTGGGAAAATACATGCTGAATTATGAAGTAAGTTTTAGATGCGGTGAGGTAAAATAGGATTAACGTCGCGTTCAAGATTATTTCACATGTATAGATACGTGCATCCACGTGGTCGGCTGCGATCAGTCTAGAGTTGTGCAGGTTTGGTGCTCACTGAGATAGCATGCCGCACTTGAACACGGACGCCCCACTCAGACACACTCCGATTCCATGTTGACCAGTCATTCTTTTGTCCCTTACAGCCGTTTTGGTTTGTTGTTTAACACCGCACTCAGCAATATTCCAGCTGTATGACGGCGGTCTGTACATAATCGAGTCTGGACCAGACAATCCAGTGATTGACATCATGAACATCGATCCACGCAATGGGGATCGATCACATGCATCAACCAAGTCAGCGAGCCTGACCACCCGATCCCGTTAGTCGCCTTTTACGACAAGCATAGTCACCTTTTACGGCAAGCATGGGTTGCTGAAGACCTATTCTACCCCGGAATCTCCACGGGTCTCACTTACTGCCGAGTACCAGAGATTGTGCAGCAAACGCCATCTTTTAACAGACAGACAGTTTATTCAGTACGTAAGGACATATGGCCCATTGAACAGTTCAGTGTTAACATATACATGAAAATTCATGTGATCTTGAACATATCATAATATATATTCACTTTAAGTCTAAATGCATGTTTTAAATAAATTGCTAAAGATTTGATAAAATCTTCATTGTTGGAATTCAACAAATTTATCATTAATTGATTGTCTTTGTTTGTAATATCTAAATTAGATAGAAACTTTGATCTTAATGTTTTATATTTTTTACAAATAAAAAGAGTATGACATTCGCTTTTAATCTCCTGGATGGTACAGTTAGTACATATACAATTTACAGAATCAATATCCTTGATACTACGATATTTATTGACATGGAAGTTATGGAGAGATAGATTTACAAAGAGCTCTCAAGAGAGATACTTTTTCATTGCTAGTGTCTTGTGCGATCAATACAAAGGAAAATCCATAAATAAATAACATGCTTCTTACACCAGACACCCAATTCGTTTTCCCTTCATCATCTAATTGCTTTTGCATTTGGTAATTTTGAAATTATTTTACCTTCTTTTGGAATGGCCGCGATATGACTGGAATAATGTTGGGATGCGTCATTCCATAATCACATGACGCCGGTGTTTTAACATTTTGAAATCAAATCACTGATTTGTACGGGGGCGGTCGGGTAGCCTAGTGGTTAAAGCGTTCTTTCGTCACGCCGAAGTCCCGGGTTCGATTCCTCACATGAGTACAATGTGTGAAGCCCATTTCTGGTGTCCCCCGCCGTGATATTGCTGGAATTTTGCTAAAAGCGGCGTAAAACCATACTCACTCACTCACTCACTGAATTATCCGGTGCAGACTCGAATATTTTCAGGCCGCCATGGTATCGCTGCAATATTGCGGCTTGTGGCATTAAACAACAAACAAATATTCAAAACATCCTCGCGTAAAAGTTCCACTTAAAGACTTCTCCAAACTATATTTGTTCTATGTATGCTGTTATTTTGAAAACAAGTTATTTTTTTCGATATGAAATTCTGAACTTAACTGATAAGCCTCCAAGACTGTATGATGTCAGTTCTTAAATGCAATGTGGTAGTTTGGGATAGGTTGTACAGTTAAGTTGACAAACTTTGATTAAACAAACCTATTATATCTTTTTATGGCACTAGAAGCTGTAGTGTCAAACGAAGTCCCTGCTATCTTCAATAAAATAAAGGTATTGTTCAGGTTTGGTATGGTTGGAAAGCTGACAATACTGTTCAAAGTGGCGCTGAACCAAACTCAAGTCATATAATTATCAGTATTATCTGACGGCCCACTACCACAGAAGGATATACTATACCTACATCACAGGAAATCTTCAAGAAATTGTCCTTTCTTTGGAACAATAAGTTATAGGCATGACGCATATTGAGTTAACACTCGCCAGTGAATTACAGTAATCGGTGAGTGAGTGAGTTTGGTTTAACGCCGCTTTTAACAGTAT